GTTTCTTTTCTTGTATTAAACATTGAAAGAAGACAGCTGTTGGTGTTTTAGTGGTCAAATCCCCTTCCTGCCCTGGCTTAGTTCATCAAAGAGGAGCTTTTGAAGCTCAACTGGAAGTGGTGCTGTAGGTCCATTCATAGATCCGGTTTCATTACTAGAAACTGTAGTATGGCTTCTGTGAATGGCATAGCTTATGAAAAGGGAGGGCATAGTCAGGTTCTCTTAATGAAAGCCTGTGACAGCCCTTTAGTTGTATTACACCCCAACACAGACACATCGGAAGATTGTGGGGAGATGGGTTGGACAGAAAAGAATTACTACTACTATCCTAACAGTAGAGGAATCAACACAAGGGACACATCCTACTGAATGTAAATTACAGTACCTATAACACTTTTCAGATATTTATTTGCAAAAAACTTTGAAAACCTTTTATCATTTTCCTTCTACTTCACAATTATGTGCCACTTTGTGTTTTTGGTTGTAACATGCCAAAATGTGGAAAATTTCAAGGGGAATGAATCCTTTTTCAAGGCACTGTATGTTCCTTGTGCTGATTATTTTGTTTTTGAGTTTGGCTTCACTTAGGCTTTCCCTTGTCTCCAATCCAATGTGATCTCTGTTGTGTGCTCAGCACTACATTACCCTTTCTTTAAATTCTTCACCTTCAGGTCCAACTCTTCCTGATCATCAGCCCTACAATCCATTAAATCCTAGGAAAAGGTATGCTCCATGTGTCCTGGAGTACTGAACAGAGAGTGCTGAGCCCATAAGTAGGCAGAGCTGGATCCAACAGCGAAGAATCTGATGTGATGACTAGAGCTCAGAAGGCTGCACAGTGATGGTTTTAGTGGAGTGAAGACTGGTATTAAATTTGGAGGGTGAGACATCTGAGCCCAATAACGGTAACTGCATTAAAAGAACACTTTTTAGCTCTCCATCAACTAAAGTCTACAAATGAATGTGAGGAATTGCTGTATACAAATATTCAGTGTTGAATGATTTTAGCACATAAAAGTACTCTTTGATAGAAGAGATATTGTCCCACTGTCCTCATAACACTTCACCTGCTCCAGATCCTTCACTCATCAGAGCAGGGGTATAATGAATCATTGGGAGGACTCTGGGTTTGGACAGTCGCTTCATTTCACATCAAAAAGAACAGTTGAAAAGGAAGGCTGGATTAAGATAAATAAAAACATTAAAAGCATGTTTTTTGCTATCAAATGTCCAGTACAATAGATTTAGTGCTGCTATTTGTGATATCTGAAATAGGAACTAGTGTTGTTTGGTACAAATCTGCTTCTAAACAGATTGACATGGTTTAGCCATATTTAATCTGAGCCTCTGAATAATGACCGTTTCTTTTTCTTTGGACAAGAAAATAAGTGCATTTCTGACAAACAGTGATATAAGGAAAGCATCCGTATTCCACTCCACAGGCCCCTTTAACATGGGCAGACCAATTGGGTCCACCTGTCCGTTTTTCAGGTGGACCCAGTCGGACCATCCATTGTCCTCTAAAGATGTAAATGACCATGAGTCCATTTAGACTTGCTTGCATTCGATTTGATGCTCTAAAAACAGATGGATGGCAATCCATTCCCCGTACATCTAGTGAATTGGATGACAGTCGGTTGTAAATAGACAGGTAGTCCATTTACATCTGACCACCCACAGAGGAAAGCAAGCCGTATCCATATCCACTCTACATAAGTGGAGCTGACACAGACCTGTCATCCACCTGCTCAGCGGGCATCAGTGGACAGATCCACTGCTGAGCAGGCAGATTCGCTGGTGGAGTCTATCCGTGTGAAAGGGGCCACACTAACCTCCCAGAGGGTCAAATTGCAAGCTAAATATATATGTATGAATGGGACCTGAACTGAAACAGGCTGGCATTTTGAGTCATGCTGTATGCCATCGAAGGGGATAAGGGCCTATGTAGGGCCAACTAAATAAGACATAAAAATGCAATATTCATACTGAAGTGGCCATGCCATTCCTACAAACATACTGCAATCACTGTGACAAAATAATTCTATAAGGCTTTGCCTCCTGGGAACTGAAAGCACCTATCAAATTGGTATTGGGATTTGTGAAGAGATGGGTATTCAGATGTTGCTACAAGTCTGGGCGAATGTGGTTTGGGTCTGTTTTTAAAAACCAGAGCGGGTGCTTCCTGGACAATGGTTGGCAGAGAGTTCTATACTATGATGCTGCATGTTGGAATACCAGCTGCAAATGTTGTAGTTCTTTTCTTAAGGGTGAAGAACTACATCTCAGATAGTTTGCCCTTTGCATGCAATACCTAACCAAGCAAGATCCACAAATCAAAGAAGCAGCTACTGGATACACATGTGTATAGATGTATAAATTACTGTCAAAGAAAACAAAAGATGATTTTAAATAAAGTTCTTTTTTTATTATTTTTATTCAGTGTCATGTTTCTTGCAAACACTGAGAACCAATTTATTTCTGAACCGCAAGAAATGATATAGGAAAGAACAATACAAATTATTAGCGAAAATTTTGTTAATAGGAAAAGAAACTGAACATTGCACAACTATTAGCACAGCAACACATCAGACAATTATTTGTTGTGATTCGGGGATCATAGATGACACGGAGTCATGCAAGCAACCAAAAGTAATCTGTTCATTACTAATTGAAAATCTTAGCAAAGCTTAAACAGATTTCACAACAGAAAACACCAGCCACTTAGAGCCAGGATAACACAGCATAGTGGGTGTCTTTTAGAAATAAAGGCACAAGGAGAGACAGTGCAGTGTTTGAGATGAAATTACAGTTACAGTTGTGGCCAAAATTATTCAACCCCCAATGCTGTAAAGGGGTTTAGGGACTATAGTGTACATTTGGAATTGTATTCAGAATCAAATCCTACAAGGACGTTGTAACTACCCAAATGCAACTAAAATGACATCAATTGTTTATGTAATACAGTAGTAAATGGTTCTTATGTGGTTTCTTCATTGCCACAATTATTCAACCCCTTAAAGACTACCACTCTGAAGAACAGAGGTTCATACAGGTGCTTTCCATCAGGTATTGAAAACACCTGTGGATGTCACCGAGCAGCAATCAAGCATAATAAGCACCAATTAGGCAGCTTTAAAATGACTGTGATACTCAGCTCCTTCTAGACATTTACTGGTGTGGTTACAAACATGGTGAAGGCAAGAGAATGGTCCAGGAAGACAAGAGAAGAGGTGATTTCTCTTCACAGGAAGGGCAATGGCTATAAGAAGATTGCAAAGATGTTAAACATACCAAGAGACACCTTAGGAAGCATCATTCGCAAATTCAAGGCAAAGGGCACTGTTGAAACGCTACCTGGTCGTGGCAGAAAGAAGATGCTGACTTCGACTGCTGTGCGCTACCTGAAGCGTAGAGTGGAGAGAAGTCCCCGTGTGACTGCTGAGGAACTGAGAAAAGATTTGTCAGATGTGGGTACAGAAGTTTCAGCCCAGACAATAAGACGCACACTGCGTAATGAAGGCCTCCGTGCCAGAACTCCCAGGCGTACCCCCTTGCTGTCTCCAAAGAATAAGAAGAGTCGACTGCAGTATGCCAAAAGCCATGTGGACAAACCACAAAAGTTGTGGGATAGTGTTCTGTGGACTGATGAAACAAAATTAGAACTGTTTGGGCCCATGGATCAACGCTATGTTTGGAGGAGGAAGAACAAGGCCTATGATGAAAAGAACACCTTGCCTACTGTGAAGCATGGTGGAGGGTCAATCATGCTTTGGGGCTGTTTTGCTTCTGCAGGTACAGGGAAGCTTCAGCGTGTGCAAGGTACCATGAATTCTCTTCAGTACCAGGAGATATTGGATGGAAACGTGATGCAGTCCGTCACACACCTGAGGCTTGGGAGACGTTGGACCTTTCAACAGGACAATGATCCCAAGCATACCTCCAAGTCCACTAGAGCATGGTTGCAGAGGAAAGGCTGGAACATTTTGGAGTGGCCATCGCAGTCACCAGACTTAAATCCGATTGAGAACCTCTGGTGGGACTTAAAGAAAGCAGTTGCAGTGCGCAAGCCTAAGAATGTGACTGAACTGGAGGCCTTTGCCCATGAAGAATGGGCGAAGATACCCGTAGATCGCTGCAAGACACTTGTGTCAAGCTATGCTTCACGTTTAAAAGCTGTTATAACTGTAAAAGGATGCTGTACTAAGTACTAAGATTGAATGTCACTTGGGGGTTGAATAAAACTGATAATGCTGTGAGCACAGAAAAGACATTTGTGGTTATTTCATTATAACTGTTATGTTATATTTGTCTGACCTACAAGTGCCTCTTTAATGTAAATGTAAGCAAGATGACTGAATGATCAAAAGCAATGTCAAACTGGCCAAAACACTCAATTTCAGTGGGGGTTGAATAATTTTGGCCACAACTGTAGGTGGACAATACAGGGGACAATTTGACTGCACAATCAATTTCCTTTGGCTCTACCAATAACTATGTAATACAAGAGCCAGCCTGAATAGATACAAATTGAATGGCTTTAATAAACAGGCCCGTACACTACCTTGTTTTGGTAAATATAAAATTGATTGTGCAATCAGACTGCAAAGTGTATGGCCAGCCTTACTTGCATCTTCATTTGTCATCTAGTGGTTATCAGTAGACCACGCCTGTATAAAATCATACTAATATTTTAGGATTTTTTCTCTTTTAAAATAGAAAAAAATTTTTTTTTTGGAATAACTGACACCAAATATGTCAAATTTGTACACTGAAATGTCACAGAGCATTACCTAGCCCCCTAAATCATGTGATGACATAGAAGTCACAGATTTGCAGAATACGAAGTTTCATTAAGAACTTGTCCATCATCGTGCCTTTCTTTGGAAGTTCCCCACAGTTTCTCTAACAGCAAGAAATGGAAAAGTTTAAAAATTCCACAGTAACCAACTGCATATCTTGGCTCTAAGGCTAACTATATGATCAAAAGTGATTCATGCTATTCAATATTTTGGATCAAAGGGCAACTGCCCTAATTCTATTTCAACATTCGCCATGTGTCTTCCATTGGCACGCCCATGCTTATGCCATTTACCTTCCCTTTTATATCGTGCTTGATTCTTCTGTTCCTGTTTTCTTTCTTTATAAGCAGGTATTTTTTCAGGTTTCCTAGAAAACAGTAATTAAAAATATAGAAAAGTATTCACACTTGAAAAAAAGGCTGCACAGTCTATTGTACATTAGTTGATATTATAGATTAACTCCTTCCCGCCGGCACCTCCCAGCCCTTTAAGAGTTCCAGAAGCTGGAAGCGGGACGGGCAGGGCGGAGTTTAGGGATCATGTGACCGTGAAAGGTCCCGATCGAAAGATCAGGACCTTTCCTTGAGTACTGGACATGTGTGTGGGGAGCGCGCACGCTCTCAGCACATATGTTTTTTGTTAATTGCACACAAATGTACAGCTGCTCGGCGTCTAGGCCGGCGTAAAGGGGTTAAAGAAGACCTATGGCCCATTCACATACCAGTGCATTGTAGTACTATGTGTGTTAAGAGAAGCACAGCCAAAGCTTTTTTAGCAGCTAGTTCTACACTCCTGTGACCCATTTTCAAACAACAGCAGGCCTAAGGCTTATGTCACAGAGCCGGTACTTGTTCTGAAAAGATCCGGACCATATGGTCGGGATCCATCCAGAAGGCTGGACCAGTAACTGGCTCTGCCTCTCACTGAGCCGCTGAGAGCCTGAGCCAGTCGCTCCTGCCCCTTCCACAGCCTAGTGCTCCAATGAGTGCTAGAGGGGCAGAGCAGAGAGCTGGTGACGAACATAAAGAGGTTGATTTACTAAAACTGGAAAAATCTGGTGCAGCTCTGCATAGAAACCAATCAGCTTCCAGGTTTCTTTGTCTGATTGGCTACTATGCACAGCTGCACCAGATTTTGCACTCTCCAGTTTTAGTAAATCAACCCCAAAGTATACTTAAATCAAGGGCAGGCAGCAGGAGAGTTGTGACTACTAGAGTAGTTGTACGCTACTAAGGACCAGTGCTGTGGAGTGCTTGGACATACACCAATCAGCCATAACTTTATGACCAATGACAAGTGAATAACACTCACCAGGACTCAACAAATCAGTCTGTGCAATAATGAAGAATATATGTACAAACACTCATATGAGATAAACAGTGAATTATATCAAAAAAATGTCCATGACTACATTCAAGTGTTCATAGAAGATTCTCAAACTCCCTGTATCTTGTGACTATAGCCAAATAATAATAATAATTGTAGTACTAACCCACTTTTTTAGTATGCAAGACCACTATGTAGTATTTGAATATTAGATATAGCTCCTCAACTGGTTATATACAAATATAAATTTAAGATTTTTTAAAAATATCTTTTTATACACACACACACACACACACACACACATATATAAGAACAACATTTCTTGGCATAAATACACTTCTTGCACAAGATGTATTATGGTTAATACAGTTATTATTTCTTAGTAAAAAAAAGACTGTAACACACTATTTGTCCACTAGGTGGAGTATCACAACTTAGTTATATACTATATAGAGGTTTTTAGCCATTTATATTTAAAACAATTTTTGGGGGCATTTTTATTTTATTTATATAATAAACATATGTTTAAGTTTATGCAATCTTTTTAGAGTGTGGTATGTACTTAGGTTTATGTAATGGACATCCGATTCACAAAATGGGTATATATGCACTATATGGCCAAAAGCATTGGGACACCCCTCCTAATCATTGGATTCAGGTGTTCCAATCAATTCCAATCAAGCACCTAGGAATGCAGAATGCTTCTACAAACATTTGTGAAAGAATGGGCCTCTCCCAGGAGATCAGTGAATTCAAGCGTTATACCGTGATAGGTTGTCACCTGTGCAATAAGTCCATGCATGAAATTTCGTTGCTACTAAATATTCCACAGTCAACTGTTAGTGGTATTATAACAAAGTGGAAGCAACTGAACAACAGCCACGTAAAATAACAGCGAGGTCATGCTAAAGCGCACAGTGCGCAGAAGTCGGCAACTGTCTGCAGAGTCAATAGTGCAAGACCTCCAAATTTCATGTGGCCTTCAGATTAGCACAACAACAGTGCATAGAGAGCTTCATGGAATGGGTTTCCATGGGTGAGCAGCTGCATCTAAGCCTTACATCACCAAGTGCAACGAAAAGCGTTGGCTGAAGTGGTGTAAAGCATGCCGCCACTGGACTCTAGAGCAGTGGAGAGATGTTCTCTGGAGTGACAAATCACGCTTCTCTGTCTGGCAATCCAATGGACATGCCTGGGTTTGGCAATTGCCAGGAGAATGGTGCTTGCCTGACTGCATTCTGCAAAGTGTAAAGTTTGGTGGAGGGGGGTTATGGTGTGGGATTATTTTTCAGGGGTTGGGCCCCTTAGTTCCAGTGAAGGGAACTATCAAGGCGTCAGTATACCAAGACATTTTGGACAATTTCATACTCCCAACTTTGTGGGAACAGTTTGGGGATGGCCCCTTCCTGTTCCAACATGACTGCGCACCAGTACACAAAGCAAGGTCCATAAAGACATGGGTGAGCGAGTTTGGGGTGGAGGAACTTGACTGGCCTACACAGAGTCCTGACCTCAACCCAACAGAACACCTTTCGGATGAATTAGAGCGGAGACTGCGAGCCAGGCCATTTCGTCCGATATCAGTGCCTGACCTTACAAATGCGCTTCTGGAAGATTGGTCAAACATTCCCATAGACACACTTCTAAACCTTGTGGACAGCCTTCCCTACGGACTAAGACTTGGATGTCATTAAAGTTCATGTGCATGTAAAGTCAGGCGTCCTAATACTTTTGGTAATATAGTGTATATTTAACATATACACTATATTTGCTTAATTCATATAATTTTGTAATAAAAACACTTTTTTTAGATTCAAACTTTCTATTTGACTTTTTCTGGTTTTGACTGACATTTAGGTCAACCAATTATGGAGCTTTCACACTTCATATAAATATACAGGAAATGGCAGCAGCTGAAGCTTCCTGAGAACATGTATCAAGTGAAATGCATTGAGGACTGGGCCGCATTCACCCCTTCCAGTTTTGTCACCTGACATCACATCCGGCCTGGTGGAATGCACGTCAGCCGCAGAAGAATGTGGCGGTATGAAGAAGGGATCCCCCTAGTGACCTACATGTGTTGGTGCCCCCCCTTTGGCACCTTAATCATGTAAGCGCATATACAGTTAGGTCCATATATATTTGGACATAGGCACAAGTTTTGATTTTCAGGTATTTACCAAAACATATTCAAGCTATAGTTATATAATGGATATGGGCTGAAAGGGCACATTCTCAGGTTTAAGTTGAGGGTATGTACATCCAAATTGGAGGGAGGGTTTAGGAATTACAGCTCTTAAGAGTAGCCACCCCCCCCTTTACAAGGGACCAAAAGTAATTGGACAATTGAATCAAAAGCCGTTTCATGGCCAGTGTGGGCTACTCCATTATTTCTTCATCAATTAAGCAGGTAAAAGGTCTGGAGTTGATTCTAAGTGTGGTATTTGCATTTGGAATCAATTAACCGAGGCGTGCACGTGTGGCCGTGGCTTGTGGTAAGAGGGAATAAGGGGGACTTAATCTGAATATATATACGTATATAAGACCGGCCGTGATATACTTTCACAGCCCGTGCTACCTCTGGCCACCACTTTCGAGAGACTCCACTCCAATCCAGCTGACTGACCACACACATGGGCAGACACAAATCTTACATACAATCTGGTGCACTAATTAGGGTTGAGGAGCAGCCTAGCGATCGACACACCCTTCTAGGATTCCTCCAGCTGTCCTACAAGCTAGAACCCCGGTGTTAAATCACTCTTCCACTGTCCACACACCCCCACACCAGACACACCACAAACGGTAGCTTGCCACCACCCAACAGTTTATCCGCAGAACAGTCTGCTGGGACACAACACACACACAGATCTCCGTCTTGCAGACCTGTCACCCTTATAATCTGCAAACATGCAGTGCAATTGCATACACATAGGCAATGAACTTGACCGAGCATATAAAGACACTAAAATACAATACGATCTAATCTCTCTGGAGATATGAGCCCGCTTAAGTACCCAAAAGTCACTTATTAATTTTATGATTTAATATCCCAAAGTGGGCAGTGCATAAAATATGTACAAAGTATAAAAAGTTACAGAAAATACAAAAAGACACATAATTGGCTATTCACTATAAAATAAAAGGGAATAAAACAGAAATAAAACTTTACCAAGATTTATCCTGCGACTGGAGCAAGTCAGAGAAAGTCTGCAATCCGTCAGTCAATAGGACGAGCTCCGTACGAATCACAATGTCCATACCTCAAGTCCTCAATTTATGGGAATATGGACATGGGCTGGACATTAGTCCTTGGCCAATTAACCCTGGCGGGTGATCCCGTACCAGCCTGCAGGACGTTCTGGGTGCTGAAATGCCCAAAGTCAATTGGACCAGGAACGGTCTGAATCACCAAGTCAGGGATTGAATTTCCGACACCAGCACATCAGTCCGATCACGACAGTACCAATCACTGTTCAGCTGTCGCAATCCAGTGCCACATAACCATTTCCTTCATTTTTCTGGCATTCTACATAGTCCACAAATACGGTTTTTACATGCAAATGTAGCCCACAGAGTGACCAATCAGAAGGAAGTATTTTCATCTCTCTGCAACTAATATTTTAGCTTTTACTAGAGATGAAATCTATTCCTTTGATTTGTGTATATACTTTAAAGCTCTCCAGACAGATTGGAGCCCCCCTGGTCTCTAGCAGCAAAAATGTCTGGCGTTCCTCTTTTAAACTTCAGGAAGGTGGCAAAGTCTGATTATAGATAGATAGATAGATAGATAGATAGACAAAAATCTTATTGGCACTTAGGTGTCACTTCCAGCCAAGAAGCTGCTCTGTCTTTTCAGATGCTAATGGGTGAGCACATGTCTCTGAATACCTATGACTGAATATTTCTTTAATGACAAGGAATGAAACCAAATTTACAATTACATATTGCTACAGATCACATCTCAGTCCAATCACTTGAATCCCACATCTACGTTACAGATAGCAACAGCATTAGGAGTGGCCAAATGAACAGTTTGGT